CCACAACACCCCACCACCACCACTCCCCTTGAGAGCTGGGAGGACTTACCTTACAGGAGTGCAACCTTCATGACAGGCTGCTCAACTTGCCAGCCCCTTTCCTCTGCTCTTCCCACTGGTCCAGTAGTGTAACTAGGGGTGAATGAGTAGGACTTCATCCCCAGGTGCTGATTTAAAGGGGTGCCTGCTCCCCAGGGGCAGCTGTAGCTGGTGTGTGGGGAGCTCATGCCATGATATATAGGACTCTGCCCACCCCCACCTTCCCCCACATATTCTGCTCTCCAGCACTCAGCAAAATACAGTCGTCTGGGCTCTGCCCAGGATGCCTTTGTGTTGATCTTCTCCCTCCCAATCTGATCCACCAGCCTCCTCTGAGACCACAGTCACCCCCCCAACCCGGGCTGTGCCTACAACTCTCAAATCCTAAAACTGCAACACATCACCCTCTGTGGACTCTGCCATGCTTTCTGTGCAAATCCTGCCCTGGGCTGGAAGCAGTTTAGGGCATGCCTGAAGTTGGGGCACCACCTGGCTTCTTGGCCAGCTCCGTCCCCCAGCACTGATTGGCACAGGCATCCTTGCTGCAGCAAGATACGAGGTACTCAGAGCCTCAGCCCTGCACAGGGGCTCGTGCAGCTGGACCTCGGGTTGAGCTTGGAGGCAGGCCAGTTCCTGTGCTGGCTGACCTTCGCCGGCGCCCCCATCGGAGCTGGATCCCGGACAGCACATTCCGTCACCGCTGACCGCCAGACCGGGCCCCAGAGGAAGCGCAGCACTTCTCCCCCTCTCCGAGTTGCCTAAAATAAGAGGCTCCAGATCCCTGTGGAGGAGCTGGGAGTTGAGCTCACTGGGAACCCAGGCTGCCCGAGTGCCGTGCGGTCAGTGGAGGGAGACGGGCAGGAGAATCGCCCTTTTGTTTCAGTAGCCCTCTGGCTTCAGAGCTTGGTTCATCCCTGGAGGGAATGGGGTGGGCAGGCAAGAGAAAACTGTCTCCAGAGCCCTGGAGTCTGGGATGGGGGCAGGGCCCGACACAGCAGAGCTGCAGAAGCAGGGAATGATGCATTTCCTCACCTCCCTTGCTTGAATGGTGGGGCAGGCCACTGAGCCCGGGACAGCCAAGGCATAGTCCGAGAGAGGCACAAAGCAACTCTGTCAGCACCCACCCTCCTGCCCTGAAGCCCTGCCCCACTGTCACAGCCCTGAATTCCCCTACACCCAGCCCTGCCCTTGCCCCTCACTCCTGCCCTGCACCTCCCCCCTTCTGTGGCACACTATTTGTTGAGTTGTGAGAGAAAGTAAATGTGTGGACCATTCTCCTTTGTGGCAGGAGTGCCAGCTCCCTTTGCCCATGCTGGCTGGCTGCTTCAGTCTATTTGCCGCATAGGTGCATTTGACCCAGTGCTGATGAGCTCTGTGTACTTTGAGGGAGTGCCAGAGTGACCCTTCATAGATCAGTTAACGCTCTGAGGTGTGAGGCACAGGGTGAGCCCAGGATCACCAAGGGTGAGGCAGCTGTGGGGTAGAGGTGTGAAGCGGAGGCCTGTAAATGTCTGAGCTCCTAAAATAAGTCAGTTCCATCAGCCAGCTCCTGACCACAGGCCTGGAAGACAATGGGCTGTGCCTGCCTCTGAAAAAATACTAGGGCAATCCTGGGAATTACAGGCCAGCTCACTTTGAACCAAGTGTGTCAAATACATCTGCTTACCATGGGCCAGATGAGGGGTGCAGAGCCAGTCCCTGGGTTGGATCAGGCCTGTGGAAACCCTCCACATCCACATGCCTGATCCACCACAGGCAGCACCTGCCCCTGCCAGTCCAGGACACTGACCCCAGTGGGTGGTGCAGTCCAGGACTCAATCAGGCCAGGCCCAGACTGTGCTACCTGCACAGTTTGCTGGAGTCGGGCCCTGGGCTGTCCTGCCCATGCTACCTGCTGAGATGTTGGTGATACAGTTGGGACCCAGTCCCAGGGAGCAGCATGGGCAACGTAGCCTGGGATCAGCCTCAGCGGGTGTCACAGCCCAGAACCTAGCCCCAGCTAGCTGCCTCAGTGCCAATCCCAGGCTGCACCACTTGCACTGCTGACTGAGGCCACATGCCAGGTTGTGATGCCCTTGCAGCCAGGGACCAGCAGGAAGTAGCATGAATGGTGCAGCCTGGAACCAGCTGGAGCAAGCAGCAGAGGCAGCAGACAGTTCAGACGCTGCACATTGTGCCGGTTTGACATAGCAAAATGGAGAGCATCAGGGGCTGGATTATAGGGCTCCACAGGCTGGCCCTGGCCAGCAGGCCACATGTTTGACATCCCTGCCTTAAACTGCGCTCAAAGAGAGGTTTATAAAGCCTGTGTATGATTGGGAGGCTGACCACCACTGGTCCTGCAAGGGGAGATCATATCTACCTACTCAGAGAGGACCCTGAGCCCAGCAGTAAGAGTCAATGATGCAGAACAGGTTTAGCTTCTGAAAAGCCCTTGACAAATTCACTCCCAAGAGGCTATTCAAGTGACCCTATAAGGAGGCACACTAACCCTTTGGTCTTTGTGTCTTCCCTAGCTTTCAGGAAGCCATGCAGCTGCTCCCTGGAAGGAGAGCATCAAGACCAAGGAGCCAGGTGGAATGGCTTGGCTAAAAACTGGCTTGCGAAACAGCACAGGGCAGGCAAACCCCAACCTGAGCCCTCTCCTCGCTCAGTTCAACCAGGAGATAATGCAGGTAGAGGCCCTGCTACCCTTCCCGGGGAGGCCCAGGAGGAAGGTTTGGGAGTAGGAAGTGTGTATGGGCCCCAGGGCAGTCAGCTGGGATGCTGAGGCAGTGACATCTGGCACACATCTCTCCTTTGGGGTGCCATGTTGTTAGCGGGGAAGAGGGTGATGGAAGGAGGGAGCAATCTGCTCCCAGCTCCAGTGGAAGAGTGAAGGGGGGTGTGCCTATGGCCAGAAGCCTTTCATGTGAGCAGTGGGAGGGGGGTGAACTCTCAGCCCAGAGCGAAGCCATTGTTGCAGCATGAGATCATATTTGGCTGCCTTTCTCCAAGCTGTCAGCCCCAGGGAGAGTGGGTCAGCCCACACAGGGGCCCGGCTTCCTCTCCCCACGCAGCAGCAGAGGTGGCACGGGAAAGGAGGGCACAAATGAAGGGCACCTCTGCCTCTTCAGAAGAATTTGGGGGTGGGGGAGCACCAGGGACCAGGAAAGGAAAAGAAAACAAATGCAACACATGGAGGGCAGAGACTCCTGGC